TCACTCTCCCCAACTACCTCCTCTTTCCCCTCTCTCCACTTTTTCTTCAGCAAAGGGAGTAATGATTCATGTCTGGGCTCTGGAGCCAAGTGACTTGCTTCCATCCCTGCCCTGCCACTAACCAGCTATGACTCTTCTGAATCAAGCCATTCAGCTTCCATGCAATACCTCTCATGCATTGCCCCAGGTGGTAATGCTAATTCTCCCTGGGCTGAGGTGGGGCGGGCCAAGTGTGGCAGCCTGCACGCAGTGATGATCCCATGTAAGGATGGCACCTCGATAAGTGGGTAACCAGGATTAGCTCATTTAATCCCATGACTACGCCAGGAGGTGGGCGCTGTTGAGATTATCTCTACTGCATAGATAAGGAAGAAGCCAGGGCACAGAGAGGTTAAGCAACTTGCCCAAGGCCACACAGCTATGTAACCTGGCTGCAGGTTCTTAACCATTGGGCTCTTATAGCTGTTGTTTATCAATGCCTATTCATTAAGGACCTACCGTGTTCCAGGCACTGTTCTAGGAGTTGGGGATACAGCAATGAACAAAATAGACAGATTCCTGCCCTCGTGGAGACTTTTTCATTCCAGAGGAGGAAGAGAACCAATAAAACAAGCAAATACAGGAATAATGTAGTGTTGGATGGTGGTAAGCGTAATGGAGAAAAATAAAGCAGGGCAGGGAGATGGGGGGATTGTGGGTGTGGTTGTAATTTGAGAAGGTTGATAGGAAGGAAGTCTTTACTGAGAAAATGACATATAAAGAAGGACTTGAAGGAAGGGAAGGTGACCATATGGAGGTTTGAGAGAAGAGTGGTCCAGCAGAGGGACCAGTAAGTGCAAAGGCCCTGAGGCAGGGGCAAGGCAGCAGGTTTGAGGAACACCTAGGAGGTGGAGCAGTGTGGGCTGGGGGAGAGGCGGATGCGAGGTCAGGGAGATGAGGGTGACCCACAGAGCTCACAGAGTGGGCTGTGGTGAGGACTTGGGCTTTTACTCTGAGTGAGGTGGGAACCACAGGAAATATGCTATACATCATATAGCACACAACCCACTCATGCAAAATGTACAATTCAATGGGTTTTAGTCTATTCACAGAGCTGTACAACCATCCCCACCATCTTAGAACTTTCCATCACCTCAAAAAGAACCCTTAACAGGCACTCCCGATTCTTTCTGCCCCCCAGCCTAGGCAAACACTAACCTGTTTTCTGTCTTTATGGATTTGCCTGTTCTGGAAATTTCATGGAAATGGAATCATACTGTATGCGGTCTTTTTTTTTTTTTTTTTGCGGTACGCGGGCCTCTCACTGTTGTGGCCTCTCCCGTTGCGGAGCACAGGCTCCGGACGCGCAGGCTCAGCGGCCATGGCTCACGGGCCCAGCCGCTCCGCGGCATGTGGGATCTTCCCGGACCAGGGCACGAACCCGTGTCCCCTGCATCAGCAGGCGGACTCTCAACCACTGCGCCACCGGGGAAGCCCTGTATGTGGTCTTTTGTAACTGCCTCTTTCACTTAGGGTAATGTTTTCAAAGTCATCCGTGTTGCAGCATGGATCAGTACTTGATTTTTTAATATTAAATAATATTCCATTGTGGGATATTCCACGTTTTATTTATCCATGTGTCAGTGGGGGATATTTGGCTTGCTTCCACCTTTTGGCTACCGTGAAGAGTGCTGTCATGCACACATTTTTGTGCAGACACAGTTTTCATTTCTCTCACGTATACCCAGGAGGGGAACTGCGGGGACTTATGGCAACTCTGTGTTTAGTCTTTCGAGGAGCTGTTTCCAGACTGTTCTCCGCAGTGGCCGTGCCATTTTACAATCCCGCCAGCAGTGTATGAGGGTCCCAATCTCTCCACCTCCTTGCCAACACTCCTACTAACTGTCTTTCGACCGTGGGAGGGTTTTGAGCTGAGGAGGAACGTCATCTGACTTGGCGTTTACAGGATTTCTCTGACATGCACGTTGATAATATTTTACCATCATTAATCTTTCTTTTCCTTCTGCATCACTGTCTTGCCTCATCCTGGCAAAGCCTCTCTCTGAAACATGACAAAGTCTTTTCTCTGGCTTCTTAGGTCACCGCCCCCTACTCCCCCAGTGGATGTGACTCCCCACAGCGAGGTCACGGCTGGTCACGTGTCTCAGACATCCTTTCATCTCTGCTTTCTCTCTTGTCAAGTGAGTGTGGCGTGACATGAGAACACTCTTGCCGTGGCCTTGGGGGCTCTCTTGGGTAAGCATCACGTACATTTGGACCTTGAAGACTTGAAAGTTAGATTGGGTGAGATGGTCAAGGCGAGCCAGTCCTTGCCGAGGGAAGCTCGGCATCAAAGAAGGGGGTGGCGTCAGGGTGAGCACAGACCCCAGATTTTAGTTAATTAGTTAATTCCCAAGAACTACAAAAGTCAGCAAACATAAAACAATCCCCACAGCTGATGGCCACTGAAGGCCTTAAGGAATTCAATGAAATTATATTAATTAATGAATGAGTTGGTTGATTAATTAAAGGTTAATTATTTCAAGCCTTTATTGAGTATGTACTAGGTGCCAGGCGTTGTTCCAGGTGCCGGGGATACATCCATTTGCAAAAACAGACTAGCTTCTCTCTCTTGGGAGCTGGGGAGAGAAAGAAGTAAACAGATAAACGAATAAGACAATTTTAGATAAAATGGGGTGATTTGATAGAGAGTGACTGGTGGGTTGGGACTTTCATTTTGGACAGATTACACAGGGAAGGCCTCTCTAGGGAGCAGGCTTTGAAGTGAGACCTGCAGGAGGAGAAGGCATCAGGTGTGGGGAAGTGTATTCTAGGCAGAGGGAACAGCAAGTGCAAAGACCCTGTGGCTGGAAAAAGCTGGGGCTGTTTAAGGAACAGAAAGAAGGCCCAGAAGCCTGGGGTAGAGAGAACAAGGGGCAGAGGTTGGGACATGGGGGCAGAAAGGTGAGCAGAAGCCAGGTCAGTTGGGACCTCGGGGCAGCAAGAAGAACAGCTAGCTTCATGGTGCTCTCACCTTGGGGCGCTATTCTACGCACTGTCACATCTTCCCAACTCATTTAATCCTCGCAATAGCCCTGGGAGAGAGGCTCTTATTATCCTCATTTGACAGGTGAACGAACTGAGGCACAGAACGGGCCAAGCCACTTTCCCCAGGACTCTAGGGTAGGAAATCCTGCAGCAAGGACTTCTTGGAACCTGTCCCCATCTGACACCACAGCCGCCTCATCTAGCCACCTTTGCCCCAGCCATCTTGATCTAGGTCAGGGGTTGGGTCCCTGCTCCCGGTACCCTGGACAGTGTCGGGTCTCCCAAGGGGAACACAATGCCAGGCAAGGCTCTCTGGCTAGTCGCAGCAGGTGCCTGATAAATACTGACTCAGGCTAGGCTGTGTTGCTTAAGGGTGGGCGGGGGAGAAGGCTGCTTCCTTCCAGGGCCAAAGAAGAGCTTCCGAAGGCCTCATTCTGAGCCCTCAGGGACTGGCCTGCCTTACGCAGGGGCTGGGGATACTGCCCTCCTATCCCTGCGTGGCCCCCACTAGAGACTGAGGGGACTGGTCTACATCAGGGGTCCCGAAGCCCAGGTGGGGTGGAGGGCTGCAGGCGTTAGGAGCAGGTGGGTGGGGCTTGAGGACTGCAGTGGAGCACACACCCAGGTTTCATTTTCTTGGAGCGCTTATCTGCAATCCATCGTTCATTTGTTCACTTGCCAATCGTCTGTCTCCCAGTTCGTTAGAAAGCAGGGACTTGGGTTTGTTGACCTAACCCTCTGTGCCTATTTCCTTATCTGTAGAATGGAGTCGCTGTGGGCCAGGCACTTAGCACAAGGACCCCACCTAGAAGGCTCCTCGCTGATGCATTCTAAAATGTTCCTTGTGAGCAAGCGTTCCCAGCCAGGCAGTGCTCAAGCTTTGTCAAGAGACGAAGCTTCTGCCTGTAGCATTCTAGCGCCTGGCGATGGTCAGAACGCAAGAACATATGAACGTGCAACAGGCCAGGTGGTGGCCCGGTGATAAGCATGAGGGGTGAGGGGAGAACTGGCCGCTATTTTATTTCACACAGGGTGGCAGGGAAGAGCCTTTCTGATAAGGTGGCGGCGCAGTCGTGAAGGAAAGAGCCGGGCAGATATCTGGGGGGGACAGAATTCCAAGTCGTAGGGGTACAAGGTCCTGAGGCGGGAGCCTGCTGGGCTTCTGTTCCACGGAGAGAGAGGCTGCAATAGCATGTGTGTGCGCACACGCGGGAAGGTGTGTGTGGCGCCCTGGGGGGACAGGAGGTCGCAGAGCTGGGGGCGGGCGCTCTGGAGTCCCTGCCACAGTTGGGCAATTCGTACTAAATACGAACAGTGACGACGCTCAGGACAGAGGAAGTGGGAGGGGAGGAGGGGAGAAAAGGGGAGGAGGAGGGCCTGGGAGGCAGGGGGAGGAGGCAGAGG